GTTGTGTTAGAAAGGGATAAAAGCTTTGACGAAAAATAAAACACTAAGGAGGATGGAGATTTGGAAGGGGTTGCAATTTTTAAATTAGTTTTCAGGAAGGTGTCATTGAAATAAAGGGCTAAAGGAGTCGAGGGAGCGAGCTGGGAAAGCGTCTGGGGTAAGATCCTTCCAAGCAGAGGAAACCCAACAGCTAGACCCTAGGAGGCAGGACTGGCACGACCGGGAGCAGCAAAGGCGCGGCGCGGCGGGAGAGCGGTGAGCAGGGGCGCAGGGAGCGGGACGGGGACGCAAGCCAGGGGACGCCTTCCTCCGAAGCCAAGATGAGAACTTGGGTTTTACTCCGAGCGAGACACTGCTGTGGAGCGGGCCTGTTTTCTGTGAACCCTAAGCATCCCGCTCCAAACCTCCCCCTTACTGCCGGGGCAGGAGACCTGCAAACTACAGTTCCCAGACCCCCTTGCCTGCGGCTTCCTGTTAGCCCCGGCCAGTGGGAGGTGCCGCAGGGGACGGGAAGGTGGGGAAGGCAGAGCCTTCCTCTTTCCTGGTCGGGCTCCTGGCAGTTGCAGGAGCCGCGGCAGCCAGCCCCTTGGTCCCACCACTAGCCGCTTTCGTGGCTGGGATTGTAGGTTCCATGTTGCACCATTTTCCCTTTTGTTCCTCCAGCCTAGAGGTGCTAGTGGCTTCCTGCAGTTACTAATCTTTGTCACCAATTCCCTGTAATACATTCCCTCGGTTTGAAATATCTAAAGTGGTTTCAGTTTTCCTGATTGGACCGCGACGGATATAAATGTTTGGAGCAGAGGAGGGTCATGATCTGATTTATGTTTTAACAGTCCACGCTGGCTGCCCTGTTGAGAGGCGATACTGCCGGGCAAGGGTGGAAGTGGGAGGCCGGTTAGGAGATACTGCAGTAACGCTAGTGACAGCTAATGGTGGCTTGGGCCAGTGGGGTACCGGTGGAAGTGGTGAAAAGTGGTCGGACTTTGGATATACTTTGAAGGTAGATCCACAGGGTCTGTCCACAGTCGTCTGTACTCAGACATACTGCTACAACCCGCTGTATGCAAAACATACATACCTGAGTTCTTTGCCTACTCGTGATCTACAAACATTTGCCATGGGTTGGGCGGGGTTAGGGGTAAGTTTAAGGACAAGGTTAGCCAACTGGTACTCCTAAGACTACAAGAATCCCTTCAGAGCTAGAAACAAACATGGAAGTTAAAAAATATTGTCATAGTGATGCTGTGATTAAAATAATACTATATCTTTTGAAAGCTCAAAAAAATTTTTAAATGAATGCATATCTTAAAAACATAGCATTTATCCACTCATTTATTCATTGGACAATTTTCCACTGGATTTCTACCTGTGTGCAAGGTATAGGTCCTCAGAATAGACGAAAAAAGACTTATATTTATGAGATTACAGTCTTGGGCCCTAGTCAGCATAATAAATGAATTTGGCCTTTCAGTTTAGGGAGGACACTATTGCTAGTCTTTGTCACTTACTACAGGGACTTCTGTTTCTTTTGCTTGGCCAAGTTAGCTGGGCCTAGTTTGGGGGCTGTGTTACAGAAAGTATGTTTGTATTTATTTTATTAACAAGCACTTATCAGTCTTCCTGCATGCGGGACACTGCTCTAAGCACTTTACACTTATCAACTCCTGAATTGTCTTAACAATTAATTAATTCAGTTTATTGATCATCTCTTATTACTGAAAGTTGGGTACTTGTTTTGGGGAGAATGAAAAATGAGCACAAGTAGTTTGAGGAAAAGGAAAGAGAAGTCTATTAATTTGTCAGCAAATGAGGAGGGCGGCAGACTAGCATCTCAAAAGACTGCCATCCTGACTAAGCAGAAATACAGGAAGTTTAAAAGAAGAGTTTTTGGTGGTTGGGCTACGTGACCCTGATGATCTCGTGACCCTTATCTGGATGATTCTGTTGAGCCATCTCCTGTGGTTTAAGATACTAGAAAACAAACAGCAAAGAACATTTTTTTCTGCCCCTTTGATTACTGGCCGTGGGCAGGAATGTAGGTTTTAATTCCCCAAATGGGTGGGGGATTTAGAGAGACAACTTGTAAAACATTTCCTTGCCTTTTTTCCAACCTTTACCTCTGTTACACTCTTGGTCCTGCTTGTACTTTTCCTTTCCATGGCATACCTGACCAGACTAAACACACAGTCCCTGTCTGTGATCCTTATAAACAGCTTTCCTTCTGGGCCTTTGTGGAATTAACAAACTGTATTCAACATAGGGGATATTCCCAGGCAGCTGATGTTGCATTATAGTAATGAGACAGCTTAGCAAGACTTTTTTTGCTGACCATGCTGGTCACATAGCACCATTCTGCTGGTTCTATCATCCTTCTCTGCCTTCCCATCCCAGTTAACCAT